GTATCATGAGAATTGACATGAAAAAAGGTATACCTAAGGGAAAACTAATAATTTAAAATTGACTTTTAATAAATATTCAAGATGGGACTTCTCCTATTTCCCATTATGCCCTTAGAGCCCTGTTCTGAACGCAAAGGCACTAAGTACCTTCTCCTCCCATTCTAGGTTCAGAGAATATGTTGCAAGGAACTGTCCTCTCAAAGGACACATTTCAGTAGAAACTCCCACTGGGAAAGGAGGGCTGGTTTAATGTGAGAAGAAGTTCTCTCCACCACCCCATGGGTGGCCTGCACAATGTGTACAGCAAGATAACACCCGATAAGGGGCATCATGGTACCAGTGATTACTTTCCAAGGGGATGGCATATATTTTAGATGAAAATACAAACCTGGTGGCAAAAGGAAAATTATTTTCTTTTTCATGCAACTCTTAGGAGAGGTTAATATCGTTCCTAGGTTTCCAGGTGGTATTCCTCCAGATTCTTTGTTTAAAACAATGGAAGCCCAGTCTAGCTAGCTTTAGGCAGAAAAATAATTTAATGAAGGCCATACAAAGCAATTCCTGGACCACCACTAAATCAGGCTTGGAGGTGTCTACAAATCATGCCCTGACCACACCACAGATGTGCCTCGGTGGAGACGACCTAGCCACCAACACTCCAGCGTGGGCCTCAGACACTGGAACTGTTGCTGGAATGCTGCTCCCGCTGCCTCTACAAACTGACTGTATTTGCCCAAACAGCCTCTTCCAGGTCCTTCTGCTTAATCTGATGTGCCTAAGGTCACAGGACAGCCCTCACTGAAATATGAGCTTGGAAAGCAAGTTCCTGGCCCCCCCAGTAGGAAGTGCAGATGCACAAAGGTGGGAATTCTCACACACAGGACGTGTTCAAATTTACGGGGTACCCACATGAAATAACAATGTGCCCTGGAGTGTGGACCCTGCATTCCCCGGAGCACTGCTTCTCAACTCATGATACAATAGAGATTTAAATTTATGACAGATGTCCAGATTAAAAACCTCCAAAATTAACAGAATCTAAGCTAATGGGAGATAGCCAATAATTCTTCTAATGATGTATATCTCCTTTATTCATTACAATTTGCTAATATTTGGGTTGGGCAGCATGATAGAACTGACGTGAAAAATTAATGTTTATCCACAACCTGGTTAAAATATTGTAACTTTGTGAGTTTAGTTTCAAACAAAAACACGAATGGTTTTCCAATAGGGAAAATGAATTTAAATGGCATCTGAGAAACTAAACAAAGTGGGACAATTTATCTTTGTTTCTGACTCAAATTATTTATTTAAAAAATATTATTCAAAGATACACAGTATTTCTACAGTGACTTAATAAAGACTCAAGCCTATACAACATCCAATTTAAACTCAACTGATTCTGCTCTCCGAAAAGATCCCTCTTGCTGTTTGCAGTAACATTCCCACCCTCAGGAAATCACTAATCTGCTTTCTATCTCTACAGATTTACCTTTTCTGAACACAAATTTAGATGGAATCATATGATATGTGGCTTTTTTAAGTCTGCCTTCTTTCACTCAATATACTGTTTTCAGGATTCCACCACATTGTAGCATGTATCCATACTTCATTCCTTTATATTGCTGAATAGTAGTCCATGGTATAGATATATCCTTTTGTTTATCCATTCACCAGCTGACAGATATTTGGATTGTTTCCAGTTTTTTACTATTATGAACACTGCTGCTGAGAAAATAAACATGCAAGTCTTTGTGAAGACAAACACACACACACACACACACACACACACACACGCAATAAAAGTACCTGATTCTGCTTTCAGCTAGTTCTTTTAGAACCTCTCCTCCTTGCTTAGTCCCAAGTAATGCTTTACATATTAACCTTGTAAGATCCATCTGTACATATTTATTCACATATATTTGGATGCACTGGATTCTAATTTTTTTTAAAAACCTACGTTTAGAATGAAGACTACTTACAAGTAAACATACAAAAACAAATAAATAAAACATTTATAGTACAACCATTTACTATAAATATACAAAAACAATTAAGTAAAACTTTTATAGCACAAAGAACAATTTGGGCTCTGTGGAACAAGATAAATTATAAGTTAACTTTCTATCTCTTTTCCAATAGAAAAATGCCAGATATTTATCTGTCCATTGATGTTTCCAATCCAAACAGTATTTCTCTAAAGCTAATAACATCTTAGCAATATAATATCCTTCCACAGAACAATGGATCAAAATATCAGGATCATTCCTTAGGAAATTCCCATCACGTTCTTCATACTGTTTTTTCTTGAAGGTTCAATTCCAAGCTAAACTGATCTTTCCTGTGAGAGTAGAGCCAAACCATAGTTTATGATTATATATGTTATGTGCTATCCTTGGCCCTGTTGCCTTTTATAGCTCTCATAAGATTACATTTTCTTAGTTGTTGTTTTTTTCTCACAATTTCATTGTTTGGGGACACTGACCCACTTTGTAAAAGACAATTCTACTCTCCAATATAAATAGAGAACTCAGAAAATTCTGTCAGGCTAAGTCTCCTATTTTACAAAGGAGGAGGAGGAGGAGGAAATAAGGTGGTGGTGGTGGTGAGAAATAAATAAATCAGACTCACAACTATCTAAGTGAAAAAGTACTACTTATATCCTGTATCTATCAAGAGTCAGATTTCCTAGTACTAAGACTTTCTCAACCTATTAAGATAACATTGTGTCTAATGATATGAAGATCAGCAAAAAACCATATTGTTATTACATGAATGAAGTAAAACAAACAAACAAAAAGAAGGGAGGGACGGAGGAAGAGACAACTCATGGAATTGGGAGAAAATATTTACAAATCATCTATCTGATGAGGGACTTATAATCAGAATGTATAAGCAGCTCTTACAACTCATCAATAAAAAGACAATCTAATTAGAAAATGGGCAAAGAATCTGAATTTCTCAAAAGAAGATATACAAATGGCCAATAACCACATGAAAAAAAGTTTAACAGCACTAGTCATTAGGGCAGTGCAAAGCAACACCGCAATGAGATACTACTTAACACACCAAATAGAACAACTATAATATTTTTTAAATAGAACATAACCAGTATTGGGGAACATGTGGAGAAATAGGAACCTTTTAGATTGCTGGTGAGACTGTAAAATGGTGTAGTCGCCTTGGGAAACAGTTTGGCAGCTCCTCAGAAACACAGAGTCACCATATAACCCAGCAATTCCACTTCTAGGTAGTTGCCCAAGTGAGATGAAAATATATGTCCACACAAAATCTTGTACACAAATGTTATTAACAGCATTATTCACAATAGCCAAAAAATGTAAACAACCTAAATGTCCATCAACTGATAAAGAAAAAAAATATGGTATCCATACAATAAAATACTATTTGGCAATAAAAAGAAAATAAATGCTGACGTATGCTACAACATAGATTAATCTTTTAAAAAAATTATGCTAAGTGCGCATAAGCATAACCAATGGACACAGACACCAGGGGGGTGAGGGCATGAGTCGGGGGGGGCAGGCAATGGGGGGATAAGGACACATATGTAATACCTTAATCAATAAAGAAAAAAAGGGAAAAAATATGCTAAGTGCAAGAAGGCCATCTCAAGAGATTACATAAAATGACTCCATTTATATGAAATGTGCAAAATAGGCAAATCCATAGAGACAGAAAAGTTAGTGGTTGACAGTAGCTTGGAGGAAAGAAACATTGTCTGCTAGTGGGTACGGGATTAGTTAGTGGTGATGGGTGCACAAGTCTGTGAATATACCAAAAACCACTGAATTATATACTTTAAAAGAGTGAATTTTATAGTATGTAAATTATAGTTCAATTATAGTTCAAGAAAGCTATTATTTTAAAAAGAAAGAAAAATACACGGAAAAGCATAATTTTGAATCAAGATACAAATATTTTCAATGGTATATTTTATTACACCATGATTGTGTTAAAAAAAAATCAAACATCAAAGGTTTCCTTTGGGGATCTTAAGGTTGACACTAACATTGGGAAAGCTTTTTGTAAAGCAACTTAATTCTAGGAAGTTATAGGATAAAGGCACGGGTACCTCCGGCTGCTAGGAAGCTTTTCACAAAATACATGACTTTCTTGAGAGGGACTACAATGAAACCAAAATGTGGCACACATTTCTGCTCTCTCTATCCTTTGCATGTCTGTCTATCCTTCTCCGTGTTTCTAATTCTGGTCTATTAGATTTGAATCATGAACCTCAAAGCATGACATCCAAACCCCCTTCATATAATAACAACCCAGATTAAGTAAGTACTGAATGTTAAAATTACAGAAATGAGATGTTTGAATTACAGATAATTATTTCCCTCTCCTCTCAATCCATTCCTGTTAGACCCCACGTACTGCAGAAATGCAAGCTATCTGATTTTTTTAAATTTTGAGAAGAGAGCAAATACTTGAGAAATGCTTGTTGTTGTTGTTGTTGTTTTGTTTGTTTGTTTAAAAAAAAACAACTTGTTTTAAACTGCCACATCAACTAAAATAAATAGAAATGCCCAGTTGGTTCAGACAAATAAATAATAATGGTAAAGCAATAGGTCTATCGTCATTATATGCTTAACCCAACATCATTTTGGCTTCAAACAGCAACCAAATACCTTGGTACTAATAGGACAGCATACTTTAAAAAAAAAAAAAAAACTACATAAAAATTCAACTTAAGATCAGATACAAACCTTAAGTCTAGCCACGTGTTTTCAACAGCACAATCCTATGGCTCTCCTCTCAGTCCTGAGGTACATCAACTGGGTGGATGGCCTTAATTCAGAATTTCCTTTATAGCATCACCTAGATATAACACATTTCACTATTTCTATCTTTCTGAGAATATTAAAGGCCCGAATTCTACCTAACGGGGCCTCTGGCTATAGAAGTGCTGACGGCGCAGAATTCTCTGATGTACGTGGATGAGGGACTCACTGTCACCTCACATGCCATACCTGGTATGCACTGTGCCATGGCCTCGGTGGTTATGGTTGGAGCGACTTGGGGCTGCTGCTGACTGGAGCTCACTTCTGGCTCTGTGTTAACGGAAGGAGAAAGGGCTACCTCGCAGGAGGAGACCTGGCTGGGCAGATGGGGCAGGAACTCTTCGGAAGCCACTTGCTCATCCTGTCCAGGCAGCTGCAGGGCAGACAAAGGGATGCTGATCTGTTTGTTAGGATGGGATGTGCTCACAGGCATCTGCATGGCCACTTGCTGGTTGGTGCTGTGGGTACCAGAGGGTCCTCTGTTTGGTGAAGCCAGAGATGCCCTGGTGGTCTTCTGGACGATTGGTCTGGACATCACAGAGGGGGATGCAGACACACAATGTGGGTCTAGCTCTGTGCTGATGGCAGAAGATACATGGGGAATTAGCTTAGCAGACCCTACACAAGAGGGGCCAGCATGAGTCTGAGGCTTGGGTTTTGCCATCTGTGTCAACGACAGGGCTGGTCCATCGACTCCTCCGGTCAGCTCTGCATTTGCCACAATGTAATAATCTTCAGGAATCTCTTGTTTGATCTTCTTGATGATGACATCATTGCTGCATTCATCAACCATCTGAGCCTGGGAGCTTGAATGGAGAGAAGACGGGAGTATTCCAGGCCTTTTTCGAGCAATGCTTTGAGGCCTTTGGGTTTGGGGTTCAAAGTCACTATCCTCATCTGTAACTGACGACTCACACACCATGTCAAACAGGGTGTTTTCATCTTCATATTCTTCGACAGCTTCATCCAGTTCAGATGGCTCACTGCAGTAAGAGAAGTCACAAGAGTCTCTGGTCCGATTACAGTCTAGCTTCGCTTTCACTGGTCTCCCAGGGTACCTTTCAACGGGGCTAGTTTGTGTCTCAGAGGGCACTCCAATTATGCTGGGACTATCCGAGTTAAAACTTCTGTTATCCTGGAAACAGACCCTCTCCTGGGAGCCAGCTCTGCAAGTAGCTGTCAGTGGCCAGTGATAAGCATGGCCAGCACTACAGCCCCACATTGCTGTCAGGTTCCCGTGAGAACCTTCCGAAAGCAAGTGTTTCAGGTTAGGAATGAGGCTGCAAATAGTCCCATGGCTGTGGGCCCAGCTGACCAATTTGGACAGATTCTCAGAAGAGGTATGAAGGCAATCCTCCATGTTACAGGATCAGCAGTGTCTTTCCTAAAGGGAAATAATCAAAACAAGAAGCCATTATTACCCAAGATATTCCCATATGTCAATTACTTCAATTTCCTTTAACTATGGTCATCGTGTAGCACAAAAAAGAAATGCACTTCAAAACGGTGTCTAGTTAACCCTGGCTGATGTGGCTCAGTTGGATGGAGCATCGTCCTGTACACCAAAAGGTGTTGGGTCCAATTCCCAGTCAGGGCACATGCACAGGTTTCAGGTTCAAGCCCCAATTGGGGCGCATACACAAGGTAACTCATGGATGTTTCTCTCTTCTTTCTTTTCTTTTCCCTCCCTTCCTTCCTTCCTTCCTTCCTTCCTTCCTTCCTTCCTTCCTTCCTTCCTTCCTTCCTTCCTTCCTTCCTCTCTCTCTCTCTCTCTCTTTCTTCTCCCCCTTTTCTCTCTCTAAAATCAATTAAAAATGAAAAAAACTGTTATCTAGTCAATATCACTGCATAGGGACAGTAAAATGGTGATGATCCACAACCCCTAGAATACCTATCTAAGGTGCTGGAGAAGGAAGAAAGGAAGGAGATTTTCCTTATTTTTAAATTAGTAATCCCCAAATCACCCATGCTGATAGCTTCTTGGCAATCATCTCTGTATTATAAGATATTTAAACACTAAGCACTACTGTTTCATGAAGACATGGGGGGGGGGGGGTCATCAATTTCTGATTTTTAAACCTCTCATGCTAAAAGTGATTGTCTCTTATAATGACCCTGCCTGACACCAGCCTGGTTCCCATGGGCTGGCGATCTATTTTTACACTTGCATGTACATTAAGCCTGTAAACACTGAGGATGGATTACTTTGAACACGGTGAAAGCAGGCTAGGCATTAGAAACAAGGGAACTATAAAGGCTTAAGCCCAAAGATCCTTAATCCTCTGTCAGGGTGCCAAACTTTTTGAAAGTTCAAAGTATGACAACTTAAAGAAGCACGTTCCAGGGGTTTCATGAGGAACATTCACTCACTTGAGGACCTGAGTGAGTGGTGAGCTAAATTCTCTAACAGATTATGGAGCAAACACGCTCTGCTCACACAAATAAAGTACAAAAGTCGTCTTTATCCAGATGCTCATTAACTACGACCCTATAATCATGAGATTGTGAAGGGAAACAAAAGCTGTCATATTAAAAAATATTCACCAATGAGCTGACCAGTCTCCACTCAAACTCCCGTTCCCCCCTGCCCCCAAATACTAGTGTTTATTCCTGGGAACCTGTTTATGTAACTCTCTCATTCTGATTTTTGGATGCTGCAAACACCTGAGCACATAAAAGCAGGATGAATGTAAATTGAAACTAAAAGTGCTTCTAAAAATGCAGGATTTAAAGAAGTTGCTTAAAAATGCTAGAGAACTACGTCAATCATGTGTAAAAGCCATTTTAACAAATTAATGTCTGAGAGACTTAGACTAGTAAGCAAATGTGGAGGATTCTCAAAGATGAATGAGGCTTCAATAAATACTTCTGGCCCGGCTGATGTGGCTCAGTGGTTGAGTGCCAACCTATGAACCAGGAGGTCACGGTTCAATTCCAGGTCAGAGCATATGCCTGGGCTGTGGGCTTGATCCCCAGTGTGGTGTGTGCAGGAGGCAGCCAATCAATGATTCTTATCATTGATGTTTCTCCCCCCCCCCCACGCTTCCTCTATGAAATCAAAAAAATACCCTTCCTCTCTGAAATCAAAAATATATATATTTTAAAAATAATAAATATTTGTGGACTGACTGAATTAGTAGAATCAGGATATACAGAATAATGAGGAAAAACAATGTTGAGTAAAGCAAGAAAGTTGGGAAATTCAGAGTGTACAGAGAACAGCAAACACTTTCATTTGCTTGAAAATAGAGGTTAAGGAAGGTAACCAGATACGAGTTATGAAAAGCAGGTTGGAAGAGTATGGAAGGTTACAAAGGTCAAGCTAAAGAACTGAACTGGGAAGGAGAAATCAGGGGACGGAAACAGATGACGTTTGTTACAGTCCCATCCACAACTACCATTCATGAGGTTGTATATTATCAAGCAGGAAATTACATATTAGCGGGGCAAAAATGAGGCAGCACATCCTTTGATGTTTCTTTGGCCAACTGCTGTCCTGCCTAACTGTCCTCTGCATGTTGAAAGCCAGTGTGCAGGGGGGAAAAGCCAGTGTGCAGTGTGTGGAAATGTGTAAGTTGCAGAGCTTGCCATGCACATAAAGAAATTAATTATTTCCATAAACCGTGACTCTCTAAACTGGTGGAATATGTGTCCAAATTTAAGTATACTAAACTGGGACTCACCAGCTATGAGCTACAACGCCCTTCACCAATATTTATTTATGTGTGTATGTATGTATGTATGTATTCATTCATTCATTCATTCAACACCAATAACTGAATGTCAGTCCTCACTGAATGCCATTAATAGGTTCTGCAAGTTTAAGCAAAATGATGTATAATGAAACAAATTTTACTTTAGGCTAATTGATAAAAATAAGAGTTAAGTTCCTACATCTCATTGTCATAATGAAACAGTATTCAGTACAACCTGCTCTATTCTGTTCCAAGCACTGCACTCAGTGCCAGAGATACAGCATTAAATAAGACAGATGTGATCCCCATTCCCACCGAGTTTTAAGTCCAGCTGGAAATGCCTACAATTAAACAAGCAATTTATAAAATTGTGTGGCATGACTGACGAAGTAATTGGGGCTTCATGTTCTTGATCTACAAAATAAAGGGGTTGGATGGTGGTCTCTGAGGATTCTCTAAGATCTAACATTCACTCAAGTCTAATAATATAGAAAAATTTTTAAACTTTACAGGTTGCTAGACATTTTCCTCCACTTTATAGTAAAGAAGGCCACAGATAAGAAAAGGACTAAGAAATAAATGTAGTATACTATAGAAATGTGGGAAGGAGGATTTTAGTGCACAAAAATTGGGTACAGAGAGGAAAATAAAACATCTTTATTAAGACAATAGAGACACAGATAAGGATTCACATCTACCACTTTTAACTAGTTAATAGGCAAAATAGCAACACAAACATCATTGGGAAAATATAAACATTGTAGAAAAATCTACATTCCAATGACTTGATATATCAGCTGAAATCTCTTACAAATATAAGCACCCATAATAAAGTATTTTCATGACAGACATTTCATATACTTATTCATTAAAAGATTAAGTATCTTCTATGTACAATAAATTGTACTGGGTGCTATAGCATAGTAATTATAAGTCAGAAATGGGTACTGATTTTGAGACGTTCACAGTTTAGTGGTAAAATTAACAAAGGAGTGCCCTAACCGGTTTGGCTCAGTGGATAGAGCGTCGGCCTGCGGACTCAAGGGTCCCAGGTTCGATTCCGGCCAAGGGCATGTACCTTGGTTGTGGGCACATCCCCAGTGGGGAGTGTGCAGGAGGCAGCTGATTGATGTTTCTCTCTCATCGATGTTTCTGACTCTCTGTCCCTCTCTGTAAAAAATCAATAAAATATATTTTAAAAAAAATTAACAAAGGAGTGAAGCATTTTACAGAATTCTTTGTGCAAACATAAGAAAATTAGTATCACATGCAAAACACATCATATAACCAAGGTGTTCACAAGAAATGGCCCACTCAGTACCTATTTACATTTAATAATTAATTGTTTACTTAGACTTGTATGTGAAGTAGATGGTTCTTTCTTTTTAAAATTTTTATTGATTTATTGGGGTGACATTAGTTAATAAAGTTATATAGGTTTCAGGTGGACAATTCTATAATTCATTATCCGAACATTGTATTGTGTGGTCACCACCCAAAGTTAAGTGTCCTTCAGTTACCAATTATCTCCCCCTTCCCCTCTTTTACTTCCCCTCACTCCTTTTCCCTCTGGTAATCACCATACTATTGTTTGTCTATGAGTTGTTGTTGTTTTGCTTAGTCCCTTCACTTTTTTTACACAACCTTCTAACACCCCTCCCCTCTAACAGCTGTCAGTCTATTCTCTGTATCTATGAGTCTGTTTCTATTTTGTTTGCTAGCTTATTTTGTTCATTAGATTCTGTATATAAGTGAAATCACATGGTATTTGTCTCCCTCTGACTGGCTTATTTCACTTAGCATGATACTTTCCAGGTCCATTTATGCTGTCATAAAAGGTAAGATTTCCTTCTTCTTCTTCTTCTTCTTTTTTTTTACAGCCAAGTAGTATTCTATTGTGTAAATGTACCACCACTTTTTTATCCACTCATCTACTGATAGAAGAAAAGACCCAGATCCCTCCGAGGCCTGGAAAGCCTACTCTGAACTGACCCCATTCCAACTTTTCCCTCCTGTATCTAAACTAAAAGCTATTAATAAATATTACACAGCAGTCTTTTAGTTATATTCATATTTAGTTACTTTGTATTTTACTGCTAAAACTTCCTTTTTAATCAGTATATTTGTCTTAAAGCAGAGCAGATGTGCTGTCTAATACCTATTAGGTAGGTAATATACTACAATTGATAATCCTTTCATCAAGTCAGTCTTTGAAGAAATGAGTGTGTGTCCACAAAAAGCACAAAAATATAAATAAAAGTCTTATTCCTAATAGTCCCAAACTGGAACCAACCCAAAATCAAAAGAATGGATTAAAAATTTGCTGTATAGTCATACCATGGACAGCAATAAAAAAGAATATACTACTGATACATACGACAATGAATAAACTTCAGAAATATTATGCTCAGTGAAAGAAGCCAGGCACATCAGAATATTTTTTGTATATTCCATGTATATGAATTTCAAGTCCAGGCAAAACAATCTATAGTGATACTAGACAGAATAGTGGTTATCCTTACAGCAGCGGTTCTCAACCTGTTGGTCGCCAACCTGTGGGTCGCGAGCCCTTTGGGGGTCGAACGACTCTTTCACAGGGGTCACCTAAGACCATCGGAAAACACATATATAATTACATATTGGTTTTGTGATTAACCACTATTCTTTAATTATGTTCAATTTGTAACAATGGAAATACATCCTGCATATCAGATATTTGCATTACAATTCATAACAGTAGCAAAATTACAGTTATGAAGTAGCAACGAAAATAATTTTATGGTTGGGGGTCACCACAACATGAGGAACTGTATTAAAGGGTCTCGGCATTAGGAAGGTTGAGAACCACTGCCTTAGAGGGTTAAGGAGCACAAGGGTGATGAAACTGATTTACATTTTACTTGGTGTTCATATGGTGTATACATATGTAAGAATTTATCAATCTATATACTTTAAAGATTTGTGCGTTTTACTGCATGTAAATTATATATTAAAAAAACAACAACATTTAAGGTATAGAGGCAGTAAAGTGGAGTCTGGTTTCCAAACGTAGGTGGTCCAAACCCAGAAATCACTCTTTTACAACACTATACAGTCTCAAGAATGAAAACCCAAGGGAAATGAACAGGAACTTGAACTAACAATGTCTGGCTGAATCCACTGCCTGACATACTAGTCTCATTTACTTGAGTATTTTGCTCCTTGGATGTCATGCAGTGTCATCATGTCTAACAGGTACTATCATTTCCTTAGTGTCATTAATCGATCCTCTCTGGGTATTCAGAAAGCCCAGCAGTTTGAATATCCTCTCTTTCTTGTCTTGGTTTTCCCAGAATAGATGCTGTAATAATGGTGCACCTCATGTTGAGAGAGTAGACTTCAAATTAATTTGCCAAAATTTATTCACTAGGAGACAATTTGTAAATAGATCAATTCACTGATTATACCAAATTTATACTTCATGTATTGAAGATTTCAATAAAATTTTAGTATTTGCTTCATAGCAGCATTTTAAGAACTATTTAATTTGTAAAAAGCAAAGATTTGTAGAGTAGCTTAAATTTTCTTATGAATATATTCGTCATGAATATATTCAATAAATGTGAATATATTCTTTATGATTATATTCATGAATATATCCTCCTTATGAATATATTCATGAATATATTCTTCTCTGCCCTACAGGGAAAACATTTTAATGCAGTTTTAAATTAATGAATATCAATATATTCATGAACATTTTCATAAGTTTATATTCATATTCATGAAGCCAAGTTCTTCACATTGGGTCATTTTTGAACCTGGTTTAAAATTTAATGAATATCAATATATTCATTAAGACTATATTCATATTTTCAACAGCAGATATTCATATTCATGCCCTGTACTATTGATCATATTTTGAACTCAATTTACATGCAGGAAATTCTGAGCTCAATTTAAAATGTAATGAATATCAATAGCTTCATTAAGAATATATTCATAAGAATACCATCAGATTCATTGTGTATATTCAAGAATATATGCACAAGGCAACTAACCCGTCCAATCATTTGCATCTTTGACAAAATGACCATTCCTTAAAATAGTGTTAAGGAGAATGTATTTGTTTTCACAGGGGAACTGGCATACTTTCTTCTAGGTGGGCTTTCATCTACAAGCACACACGAGCCCCAGGGTTTACCCAGTGAGACTCATTTGGGCATGCACCAGAGCTGTCCCAGGATTTCAGATCTCACAGGCTCTGTTAACATCTCTCTGTTGTTCTTTATTTTACTCTTAGCACAGAGATTTGGAACATATACAGAACTAACAGGTTTTTTTTGCCTGAATTTAAGAATTTCTAGCAATCCCATCAGCTGATTATTATGCTACCTTTAGGTATCATTTTGGTTCTACATTTTAGATTTGTTTTTCATCTAACTTTTTTTTTTTCATTTAATTATCTGATTTGACTGTTCTGTTCTTATTTAACTACTAGAGGCCCAGTGCACGAAAGTTTGTGCACTCGGAGGAGGGTGGGGGGTCCCCTCAGCCCAGCCTGTGCCCTCTCACAGTCCGGGACCCCTTGCTCCTTATCGCCCGCCTGCTTGCTGCTCCTTAGCACTGCCTCGGAGGCAGGAGAGGCTCCTGCCACCGCTGCTGCACTCGCCCAGCTTCTGGCTGAGCGGTGCTCCCCTTGTGAGAGCGCACTGACCACAAGGGGGCAGCTCCTGCGTTGAGCGTCTACCCCCTGGTGGTCAGTGCGCATCATAGTGACCAGTGGTTCCGCTGTTTGGTTGATTTGCATATTACTTTTGCATATTACTCACATAGGATTTTAATGTTAGAAGGAAACACCCTTAATGCAATAAATACTTATAAAAAATCATAAAATCTTAAAACTGGAACAAAAGGATTGCCATTAAAAAGAAGGATGCCTACTAATCATGAGCATTCAAAACGGTTCTAGTAAATGTGTTGTCCTATGCAATAAGGCAAGATGACAGACAAAAATATTAGAAAGGAATCACAAAACCAGCATTATTTCCTGATGACAGGCCTATCTACCTAGAAAAAGAGAAATATTTTTAAAATGTAATTAATAAACAGATAAAATGAAATTCCAAATAGCTTAGAAACTTAATTTAAACAAAAACCAAAAGGAGAATATTTTCAGAAATTTGAATTATTTAAGGCATTTTTCTCTTTAAGTGTGATTTTAAAATTTAATATGTAGCCCTGCCAATGTGGTTCAGTGGTTGAGCATCGACCTATGAACCAGGAGGTCACAGTTCCATTCCAGGTCAGGGCACATGCTCAGGTTGTGAGCTTGATCACTAGTGGGGGGAGTACAGGAGGCAGCCCTTTGATGATTCTCATCATTGAAGTTTCTATCTCTCTCTCCCTCTCCTTTCTTCTCTGAAATCATAAAAATATATATTTTTAAAAATAATAAAAATTTAATATGTAAGTATTACAATAATGCAATCACAGAAAACATTCTGATGGAGTTTTCCTACTTTTTTTATTAGTATCAAACATAGATAAAAGTTTCAGGGGTGGGGAACATCTGGCCCAAGATAAGGCCCATGAAATCATTTGGTCTGGCCCTGCCAAGGCATTAGGGGCGAGTTAATTAGATGTTTGACCAAATATAACAGCTTAATTTTTAAGTTGATAATTCTGAATGGCTCACAAATGATGTTATAAATATCTAAATAGCCTTTGACAGGAAAAAGGTTCCCCACACCTGAACTAGTAAAATGATCACCTATATAACTTCCACAGTCAATTATTGTTAATAAAATAAAACATTATAACATAAATTTTAAATATTTTGTTTTTTCCTAATATCTTATCATAAAATATTCAAATACAGTAAAAGTTACAACATGGATGGACCTTGAAAATATTATTCTAAGAGAAATAATCAAGTGGTAAAGGACCACACATTCCATTTATGTAAAATGGGTAGAACAAGCAAATCTATAGAGACAGAATGTATATTAGTGGTTGCTAATAACTGGGAGTGACTTTAGGGGAAAATTAGAAGTAAATGCTAATAAATACCAGGTTTCTTTTTAGGGTGATGAAAATGTTCTCAAATTCATTATGGTGGTCAGGTTGCAAAGCTCTGTAAATATGCTAAAACCAATAAATTGTATAGTTTTAGTGTATTTTTGGTATGTGAAATACACTTCAAGTTGATATTAAAGACAGAAATTATAGTTAAATCAGTTGACTTTAAAGGAGTTCTAAGGTAATTTTGAATAAGGAAATCAAGATGCAGAAAAATGTACATATTATCCCATATTTTTGTAAAACAATGACAAAACTGCACACATAAATATATATGTGCATGTAATTAATGAGCATGGAATAAATACGGAAGGATACATTCTTGATTATCAACAGGGGGTGCTAATATGGGGAGAGGGTGACTAGAGGGGAAGGAAGTGGTAGCAATGTAAGACAGGGACTGTTTAGACAAACTGCACTTAAAAAGAAACCCAAGATGTGTCATGTCTGCAACTTATTTTCAGATGGTTCAGTAAGAAAGTGTGTGTGTGTAGACATGCATAATTTCATATATGCATATACATATATATACACACATAAAGATAGATTGATAAATATAATCAAATGTTAATAGTTCAATTATATGATACACAGTTATTTCTCCATTTTGAAACAGTGTTATGAACAGACAGCCAAGTTTTCTTACGATTTTTAAGGGCTATTTTGAGGGCCAGTATTAAGAAAAGAGGCCTGGAGAAACCAAGATGGTGGCATAGGTAAAAACCGGAAATTGCTGCTTCCCACAACAACTTCAAAAATACAACAAAAAGACAAAACGGACATCATCCAGAACTACAGGAAGGCTGGCTGAGTGGAAATTCTACAACTAGAAGAAAAGAGAAAAGCACACTGAGACCCAGAGGAGCTGCAGAAGTAAAGTACAGAAGTATGGAGGCTCGAGCGCGCGGAAAGGGGCTGGTACCTGAGGACTCGGCTGTCTTTTTGAATCCGGAGGGAGTCACAAGCTCCCGACTGCTCTGAACTCCAGTTCCGGGAAGTCTCTGGGGACCCAGGGCTCATACGGGGAGAAACCGGACTGTCTGGCAGCAGGCAGAACTCGGAACTTGAGGGCGGCTTTCCCTCAGAAGTGCTTGCAGCAATTACCGGGACACTGAGACGCTCGGCCCCTTAGGGCAGGGCTGAGGATCAACCATAGCTGCTTGCTCCGCCCTGTTGATTCCTAGACCCCGCCCCACCCAGGCTGCCGCAGAAGCTTTTGCATATGAATGCCCTGGCCTTTTGCAACCTGAAAATTACCTAACAAATTGCAGCTGAGTCAGACAGACCCAGAACTTCCAAGAGAAGGTTCAAGGCCCCACAGCAGCTTGCATTGCTTCACAGCTGGGCCTCATCTGGGCACCTCCAAACCCCAAAAAAGGAAGGGGAATCTGCAGATCTCTTCGTAGCTCCTGCTAGGTAACCTCAGGCAGAGGCTAAATTAGCACCTCCTTAAATCCAAGAGCCAGTGTACCCAGTGGTCAGAGTGGGACCATCCAGATTACAACTCCTCAGATCCATAACGGACACACTCAGGGGGCAGACTCAGTGAGCACCAAAGCCCCACTGAAGCAAGTCTTGCCCCATAAGGGTGTCTTCAGCACAGAAGTTCTCCCACTGCAGACAAAGCTGATTCTCACAGCCAATTGGCCTGGAGGCCAATTCCTCCCAGTGATACCAACAACAATCAAGGCTTAACTACAACAAGACTGTGCACAAAGCCCACAAGGGGGTGCACCAAGAGTGTCCACCTCAGGTAACTGGGGAGGCTGAGCCACTGGGCCCTATAGGACACCTAGCACACAAAACCACTCTACCAACACAGGGAAGCATAAAAAATGCGGAGACAAAGAAACAGGTCACAAATGACAGAAATGGAGGAAAGAAAACGACTGGATATAGAGTTCAAAACCACGTTTATAAGGTTTTTCAAGAATTTTCTGGAAACCGCCAATAAATTTAGTGAGACCCTGGAGGATATGTAAAAAGGCCAACTAGAAATTAAGCATACACTGACTGAAATAAAGAATAATATACAGAGATCCAACAGCAAACAAGAGGATCCCAAGAATCAAGTCAAAGATTTGAAATACGAAGAAGAAAAAAAATACCCAACCGGAAAAGCAAAAAGAAAAAAGAATCCAAAAATATGAACATAGTGTAGGGAGCCTCTGGGACAACTTCAAGCGTACCAACATTAGAATTATAGGGGTGCCAGAAGAAGAGAGAGGGCAAGATATTGAAAACCTATTTGAAGAAATAATGACAGAAAACTTCCCCTACCTGGTGAAAGAAATAGACTTACAAGTCCAGGAAGCGCAGAGAACCCCAAACAAAAGGAATCCAAAGAGGACCACACCAAGACACATCATCATTAAAATGCCAAGAGCAAAAGACAAAGAGAGAATCTTAAAAGCAGCAAGAGAAAAAAGTCAGTTACCTACAAGGGAGTACCCATACGACTGTCAGCTGATTTCTCAGTAGAAACCATGCAGGCCAGAAGGGAGTGGCAAGAAATATTCAAAGTGATGAATAGCAAGAACCTACAACCAAGATTACTTTATCCAGCAAAGCTATCATTCAGAATTGAAGGTCAGATAAAGAGCTTCACAGATAAGAAAAAGCTAAAGGAGTTCATCACCACCAAACCAGCATTATATGAAATGCTGAAAGGTATTCTTTAAGAAGAGGAAGAAGAAAAAGGAACTCTTTCCATTTGCCACAGCATGGATGGAACTAGAGAGCATTATGCTAAGTGAAATAAGCCAGTCAGAGAAGGATAAATACCACATGATCTCACTCATTTGTGGAATATAATGAACAACATAAACTGATGAACAAGGA